AAGAGGATTCATTGCTGCTGATGGCAAAACCATATCTCACTCTTCTTTGATATCTGATCTACTCAAAGCCATACAGTTACCAAAAACACATTAGCCATTCTCCATTGCAGGGCACATACAAATCGCAGAGATCATATTGCCAAAGGAAATGCATTAGCAGATAAGGTAGCAAAGGAAGCCGCATTACAACAGGTGGCCAGTGAACAGATGCCTTTGCTCACTTCAGGCGTCACAACCACCCCACATGACCAGATGTATGCAGATTTACAGAAATTTGCTACAAAAATCGATTTAGCAGACTGGGATGGTTCTGGAGCACAACTAGATCCAGCTTCTGGTCTAGTGTGCTTAGAGGGGAAACCATGCATTCCCATGTCAAGTGCCCCATTGTTCATTGCACAGTACCACGGTCTAAGACATAGAGGATGGAAAACAACATGTGAAACATTATTGCAGATTTTTACATTACAGGTTTATCTAGGTTGGTGAAAGAATATGTTTCCAGGTGCTATTACATGTATAAGGAACAATCCACAGAACCCAAAGAAATCACAACACCCAGCATCTAGTGTACCCAACTACACCTTTCACCCATTTACAAATAGATTTTACCCACATGCCAAAAACAGGACAGAGGCAAGAGTTTTTGTTGGTAATGGTGGATATGTTTAGAGCAGATGGGTGGAAGCATTTGTCACTAATAAAGAAGATGCGCAAACTGTAGTCAGAATTCTCACACAGGAGATAATACCCAGATGGGGATGTCCGCTGCAGATAAAATTCTGATAACGGACCAGCCTTTGTGGCCAAGGTATGTCAAGATTTGGTAAAAGTACTTAAGATAGATTGGAAGTTTCATATTCCCTATCATCCTCAAAGTTCGGGTATAGTAGAAAGGATAAACAGGACGATTAAGGATAAGTTGAGGAAGGCCACTGGAGGAACCTATACCCACTGGAAGAAGATGTTACCTGCAATTCTAGCAGAGGTAAGAATGACACCCAATAAGACTACAGGGTTATCTCCTTTTGAAATATTAATGGGAAGACCGTTCCCCCCACTCCTTGGGCTAGACAGCCACTTATGTTAGAAAGAGGGGACCTTGACCTGGTACAACAAGAATATGTGAGAAAATTGATTCAGAGTTTAGATAAGGTTGAAAGAAATGATGCTCGCACTTTTTCTTTTATTTTTCAGGAACCAACCCACCTTTTCCAAGTGGGAGATGTCGTAGTGGTCCGCCAACTCGCTAAAGACAAGAAGCAAGGCTACCCCTTTGGACCACCTACTTACGGTGATAGCGGTTACCAGAACGGCTGTTCTGGTGGAGAATTCCCAGTCCTGGATCCATGCTAGTCGAGTGAAGAAGGTGAACCAAACACCTGAGAAACACGAGACGGAAAAAGGAGGTGAAGTATGAGAGAAAAATCCTCGAAGAGTGGGTGAAGTAAGTGAAAAAGGCCCTGAAGATGAAATTTTTTACTGCCCCTCATGGGTGTTTTGAAACTCTGGGTCCTATTGGGCACACTGACTGTGCTCTTTTTCCTGCCCCTGCCAGTATGGATCCTAACTAACTGTATTTATCACCCTGAGGACTTGGGCCTAATAAAAGGTATCTGTGGTCAAGGACTAGATTTAAATGAGACCCAGATAACCAAAAGTGAAAGAAAGTCAAAAAGAAAGTTTTGAAGAGAACAATCCTTTTTCAGGAAAAATGTTGATGATGCAGTTTAAATATGCTTATGCTCAAAAGTCAGGTTCTGATAAATGTTGGATATGTAGTAAGTTTACATCCGAGCACATAGGAAATTCCTCTTCTGGCCGCTCCAGTCAAAATATTTTTGTTAATAAAAGGGAATGTAAGTATTGGTTTGACCAATATTACTTCTAATGCCACCATATCTTTTCCAACTCTGGGAGTCACTCAACTCCCCGATTGGTGTTTTAGACTGGGGAATACTTCTCACAAGGGAAGGGGAATGTGCTCTCAGTCCATATTAAACATATCTGATCCTGGAAGGAGGGATGGAACTTCTTCTGTGAAACTCTGGCAAGTAAATGGTAAAACCCTGAATGAAAGTTTAGAAGGGATACAAGATAATGTGGGGAAAACTATGTTTGGAAAACTTCTTTTTTATTTTACACTTGTTGTCACCCCTGAATTTCGCTCTGCAATACAAAAAATTGCCGATCTCCTTGGGAAACAATACCTATATCTGTTGTGGTAAGATCTGTTTACCCTTGGATACCGAGTAATGTCCAGGGCTGGTGCTATGTAGCCCAATTAGTGCCAATTATGGCAGCTATAGACCAAAAGGAACACCAGGTAAAAGCCAGTACATACCCAAAATACCAACTAACTCTGAGACAGAGAAGGGAAACCAAACAAGAAAAGGTAGATCTATTCTCTACAGGGGATAAGGTTTGGTCATGGTTTCCTACCTACACGGGATGGGGGAATAACACTTATGAACAAAATAAATAATTACACAAACATTATTGATGACATACTGGAGAGGAACTCTAAGGACATAGGGTTGCTAAATACCGAGACCAGAGCTATTAGAAAACAGCTGGAGATGCAAGAATTAGCTATTGAAAGTATGAGTGCTGCTCTGACAGGTTTGTGTGAGATGACAGAGGATTATGAATGTTGTACTTGGATATATAATACCACAATGACTGTTCCAGATTATTATGAAATAATAAAGCAACACAGGGAACAGGTAGATGGTTTGATGGAAGAAGCTAGAGCTATAGGAAAAGATGGATGGACTCCTTTTTGATTGGTTAGGATCAGGATTTGGTTCCATCTTTTCATGGAAGAAAGGTATCGCTGTAAGCATAGTCATGATATTGTTTTTTTGTTTATCTTTATATCTATGGTTTAAATGCTCATTATATTGCATTGCTAGAGCTACAAAGCTGCAAAATACAAATGAAGGTTATCTGGCTATGTAAAGAATTGAGATCATGTTCATGATCTTAGAGAGGATTGAAAGAATCTAGATAACTTCCATTTTGTATTATGTACGCCATTTTAAGTATTAAGTATTAAGTTAGTTTTTTGTAGAGATATTAGAAGTTTAATGAAACTGTTTTCAGTTGTTCAAGGATGTGTATCAACAGAAGCTAACACGACCCTGACAATGTCTTTGTCTGTCTGTTTTCTCTAAAAGTTAGACAAAACAATTTGTACCAAGAAATGTATATGTCATGTTTCATGTAGTTAGCTCATGATGGAAAGTTACAAGTTACAGTTTTGAAACTCGCTCCCCCCTCCCTTATTATTTTCTGTATCCTATATAATCTTATTAATGTCTAATAAACTTTGAAACATCTCTGATAATAAGCTGTCGTGATTTCCGTGTTCAAGGGGTGTTCCCAGAATTCTGCTGATAAACCAGGAATCTCTCCACAGACCGGGGGTCTCTGAGGGGGAAAGAAAATCATTCCTTTCAGCCATCACATCCAAGAAATGGTAAGCTAAGAATTCTAAAAATGGCCTGAAACATTTTGATTTTCATTTAAATAAATTCAGTGAAAAAAAGGCTAGTCTAAAGCTTCCACTACTCACGTGGATTAACCTATTAGTGACATGTCTTTTCTCTGAGAGGAGTAATCAAATAAGAAACTGTAATGGATAGACACAGTGATGGCAGAAGAGCGGTCTGATATGGGTTAAAAACTATTCATATTGCATTTTATATCCCCACTGTTCAATCAGATACATTTTATATTTACTTTGAGACGTGGCTGAGATTTCTCTACATCACTACAGCTTATCTGTGTGTGTGAACAACTATGGATAAAATACTAACAGAAAAAGCTGCCTTACATCCTTGAAAGACAGATGAGGAAGAAGGGGTGGGGAATCTGTGTTTCATTACCTGGTGTATTCCTGGTGTTCTAATGGGTAAAGTTGCAGTGCCTGCATTTCTTCAGAAGTAATTAACCCTTAGGGAGTATCTAAACAAAAATGATGAAATTCCTATTGCAGAGAATGCCTAAAAATATGACTTCTATATTAGCATGGATGAAAATCAGTGAGCCAATCACACGAGCAGGAAATGACAATTTTGGGGGGCGTTCTGTACATCAATTGTGTACAGAATGCCTCTGGTTTCCCATATTGCACTGGATTTTTTGATAGTTGTAAACAATTATAGCAGCTTCAGTGTGAAATGGAAAGGTAATTTTCAATAACATTAAATCATATAATAGTTTGTGGGGCAATGTTTTACACTATATTATTATTTTTTTTTTTTTAAGTAAAAGGATTTCCCCTTTAAGGTTTGAGGTTTGTATGAGGAGAGGGTTAAAGTCAGCATAAGAGTAAAGCTGAGGAGAATCAGTGCTTTGCTCATTCAGGCTTCAGGTTTACCTTTTCTACCTGTCCTAGAAGCAGCAGTAAGTGAGAGGAAATCTCTCATCTTAGAGAGCTGCAATATGAACACGTGACACCACAGGTATATATTTTTTCTCACTTATTGCTCTGATGACAACTCAAAATGTTTTGATTCCCCATACGTTCTCTCTCTATGACAATGGTCACCAGGACCAATAGAGGGGCAACCCCCCCCCCCCCCCAATGGGAACACAGCACCTAAAAAATTGACAAAAAGATCCTACTCTATCCAAAACTAAAACAAAAAAAATGCCTTTACATAAGTTTTTGGGTCGACCAGTGAAAGCACGAGTGTTACTAAGTGCATTTGCATTATAGGTTTCCTACCTATATAAGCTAGCCAACTAAAAAAAAAAAAAAAAAAACAAAAACAAATCACATAAAATACAAATATGAACAAAAACTGAAAGGGATGATGACATTTACCTACAGAACAGCTGATTGTCCTCAAAAACCTTATCGAGTAGATTAGTAGAAACATGGAGTAACAGAATTAAAAATATCTCTTTTTTTTTTTTTAAATAAAACAAAAACAATTGTCAAATGTTCTCAGAAAATGACATTGTAAATATATCAGAAGATGACATTTAACCTTCTTTCTCTTTTACCACATGATGTTTAATTTGTTCAGCTCTGTCCATGTAGCTTCGCAATTTCTGTCTATAGTGTGTTTTCTTTGGTTCATCTTTTGTACCTACAATTAAAAAAAAAAAAAAAAAAACACAAAACAACAACTTGTGTAAGACAATGTTTAAGGGAAGGCTGCCCTAAACCAGGACATTTCACACAATAAAAGTGTTTATGCAATGAAAAAAAATCATGTTTAAGGCCCCTTTCAGACAGCCGTTCTGATCAGGTCCATCTGTCTGTTTTTCAGGTGAACCTGATCAGAAGGTCCATTCATGCATATGGACAGGTAGGTGTAAACAGACCTGTATCCATTTACACTTGCCTACCTTTGGGTCTGTTACAGTCTGGAATACAAAAAAAAAAAAAAAAAAAAAAAAAGAGGACTGCGTCAGTGGGAATTTATCAAAGAGGCAGAAATTGCTCATTGCTCAAGGAAATATATATATATATATATACACACACACATTTATATATATATGTTGCGTTTCCCAACTGCTCTACGGTTTTGAGGGGTGAAAGGCAACAGGGCTTTTCCACTGTCTTGGAGGCTTTGAAGGAAGAAGTCCAAAAACGTCCTCCTTCCTCCCCAGTACTCCAGCGATTCACTCTTCTATCCCAGAGGGCTTGCAGAATTCTCAAACAGATTGACAGTGAAGGGCTGACTTTGTACCTTCATAAACTGGCCGTTTCTGTGTCTGTCAATGACAGATTCTCAGTGTGCTGAGAGAGAATCAGCAGAGAACATGTTCTCTGCTGATGATCGGTTTCATAAACCGCTAATGAACTGAGATGAGCGGCGATGCTCAGGATTTCTGCTGATCTCAGTTTCATAAACAAACATCTAAAGACGTTTTATGTTTCTCAATAGACGAGATATCTTTCTCGCAAAAATTCTGTGTTTGTGTCTCGCCCTGTGCACAGTATGGGTAATATATTTTACAGTATATACAGATTACTTCTAACTTTAAAGTGTTATTAAACCCATTACCCTGCATTCACTATATCTGGTCTCTCACAGTACACAGCACATGGAAATGCAGTTATTTTAGTAAATATAAACTGCTAAATACCTTTTCTCATCAGCAGTATGTGGCAGTCTTGTAACTTTTATGAGTATCCTTACAAACACTGGTTAACCTTGTAGGAGGAGTTTTCATTCTCCTCTGACTGTCCTATCAGGCTGCATGACCCCTGGCCCTCTGTCTGAACAGTGCTTATTGGCCCTGATCACATGCACCTCCCCTCCAAAAAAAAAAAAAAAAAACCCAACAAAAAAACCCCAAAAACCTCTCACAATACACACCAAACTGAGCATGTGCAGAGTGACTGCTATAGCTCTGTACTCTCAGCGGATGGATTGGGGACAGTAGAAGGGGAGGATCAGAGAATACAGGATCAAACATAACGGAGGATTAACCTCTTAGGTTCCACAGTGAGTATAACAAGCATGCTTTACTGCATATACAGACTGATTTTACTGTTGTGGGTTTAGTAACACTTTAACAGTTACAGTTTGACGTTCAGCAGTAGGCAGGGCAAAGCAAAACTAAAAGTCCAGGGATATTCAATTCCTATCACCCGACATGTAGTTCCGGGTGCCAGGCAAGTATTGCTTTTTTACCTTTAGCCCTGCTGTGGGCAAGCAGAAAGTTCACCTATCAGGTGCCGCCCAATTGGTTCCACACAGTGCCAGCCTTACCCCCCCCGTGAGGTCTCCAGGCTTTGCTTGCCCATCTGCAGGCCTGGGAACGGCTCACCAACGTCAGCTACAGGGGAGGGAAAAGAGAGGACACATCCGCTCCCCTCCCCTTCTTGTCCTTACCCGGAAGTGATGTTATGATGTAACTTCCGGGTCACCGTTGAGAGATTCCCGACCATGGAAGCTGGGAAAGAATGTAATGCGGTGCGATGTGCACCGCATTACATTCAATGGAGCACAGGAGGAGACATGCAGGGTCTTTTAGACCCTGGATGTCTCAAAAAGAGAACCTTTCACCAAAAAAATCATCACATAGAGGACTTTGTCCCCTATGTGATGGAAAAAAAGTAAAAAAAAACCTTTTTTTTTTTTTAACTGTAAAAAATGAAAGTTACACCCAAGCACATACCATCCACCCAAAAAAAATATTGAGGCCCCTCACATCCACATATACGCATGTAAAAACACACACTGCGGCACCTAAGCATGAAAACGTCAATTGCAATACACATGACACATATCGCTGCGCACAACAGAATGAGAACAATCATTCTAGCAGCAGACCGCCTCCGTAAAGCTAAACTGATAACCTATAAAGAGCTTTAAGAGTGTTGACTCATAGAAAATATAGGGTACTGAAGTTCGTTGCCATTTCACGAGCGCACGCAAATTTAAGGTTTCACATGTTGGATATCTATTTACTCACTGCAACCTCATCTTTTATAATTAAAAAAAAAAATAGGGGGTAATATATTGCTCTTTGTGCCCTAAAATTAAGAAATGTTGCAGTAATATCATGTGACATAAAAAAATTGGAACTACCACTATTTTATTCTCTAGGGTCTCTGCTTTCAGAAAATATATAACGTTTGGAGTTTTATGTAATCGTCAGGCCTAAATGATATTTTAAATGTGTGCAAAAAAATGCAAAACTGGCTCTGGCAGCGAAAGGGATAAAAGATAAGACCCGACCCTGAGGAGCAGCCAATCGGTGTTCATTACACTGCAAGGTCTCTCCCCTCCCTGCTAGTCCCCGGGTGTGGTGCTGGAGATAACCAGCGCAATGTTAAAATTATTAAACGTTTAAGTCTCTATAAAGCCTCTTTTGTTTTTAAAAGCCCCAGACATTCCTAATATCACCTCCGATTTAAATACAGTTTTGGTTCAAAATTTTTTTTTTTTGTTCCATCAGGACAAGCAGATTGTCACGATTTGGGCGCAGATTTAGTCCCTGAACGAATAGTTTTTTAAAAAATGTCCACACCCCTGAAGTCAATGTTTATAAATAACACGAGCTGCCTATACTGCTGGATGCGGTGGTGATTCTGTAGTGATGGTTCTGACATGCACATTTTTAATGCCTGCTCATATACTTTCATTATATGCTCAGTTTGTATTGTTTGGGTGTTCACATTATGGAGTACACCTTTCCTGTACAGACTGGCATAGCTGATCTCTTATGTTTCTCTAAGAAAGTTTAGACTTTATACTAGGCAACCCAAACTACATCCCTGCCCACTCATATACTCACCCTACCCCCATTCACTGCCCTTTCAGAACCCCCGTATACAACCATCCATCCTGTGCCCCCCTTAGTACTTCTCCCATCCCATACACTGACCCTTCAGCACTTGCAGCAGCAGCTCGATGCCTTCCTGGTAGCAAACCAAACTCTCCTGGAACCTGCCACTGTTGTCCAGCTCCACCGCCCTCCTGAGCACCACTCCTGCCGAATTCTCCACACCGGACAAGACAGACATAACGAGACTTGTGACTGCGAACCTCCTCCTCGCAACACAGCCACAATGAATCACTGAGCGAGCCAACCCTGGAACGTTCAAACTTCCGCGTTCCACAGACCGGAAATGGCTCAGGTCACATGTCAGTGTGTTTGTGAGTAATAGCTGTGTGCAGATGACATCATCTCCGTGCGCCGTCTCCTTTGACAGGTTCTAGGAGAGAGGACCTTGTGGGTGCGGAGCTCCTAACCAGACATCGGGGTGATTGTCCACAGCTCATACAGGTAGGTCGGGCTTTTCAAGGGGCCTCAATGCCCAGCAGTTACACATGACAGGAGTACTTACCCATAAACGCTTCTTTTAATATAAAAATCGTGGTTATACTTCACAGCTGCAATATTTAGTCACTGAAACGGAAATTTCTTACAATTCAAAAGGGTTTCCATCATGTATCTGTTACAGCAGGAGGAAGCCCATTGATTTCAGTGCCTGAAACGAGCAGAAATAACTTTTTAACCACTTGAAGACCAGCCCTTTTCTCTCACTTTTTGTTTACATGTAGCAAACAGTAGTTTTTGCTAGAAAATTTCTTTGAACTGCAAACATCTATATTATTTTTTTTAAAAGTTGAGGCCCCAGAGAATAAATTGGTGGGTGTTGCAGTTTTTTTTATGTCACGCGGTGCTTGTGCAGCTGTTTTTCAAAGGAATGTTTTTTGGGAAATAATACACTTTTTTTATGTTTTTGTTTACAAATGTTTTGATTTTTCGTAAGAAATAAGCTGAAAAAACAGCAGCAAATAAAATATATGACAGAAACAAGGCACATCTGTAATATTCCACTTTTTTAAATTTAATGCAGAAAAACAATACATAACCCAGTTTTTTTGGTAAAAGATGATGTTACACAGTATATAGATAACAAACGTCATGCTTTATAGCTGCTCATGCCTGTGCAAGGGTGAAAGAATACAAAAATGTTACTATCCATAAGTGACGGTTACCACTTTAGATTTACAGAGGAGGTCTGGTACTAGAATTACTGCCCATGAACTGACGTTCATAGTGATAGCTCACATGTGAGGGACAATTGCTGCTTGCATGCGGGACCGACGCGTGCATTCGCCTTTGTGTGCGAGCATGGGGGGGCTGGGGGAACTTTAACATATATATATATATATAATATAAAATTTGTTTATCACTTCCATTGCTGTCACAAGGAATGTAAACATCTCTTGGGACAGGTGCTCTTTATAGAGAGGTCTGGGGTCAATAAGATCCCCAATTCCTCCTCTGTCCTTTAAAATCATTTGATCACACCAACAACGGTAGAAATGGCGATTCTTACGTGATAACATCGCAAGGGAGGTTCTGCCCGACAATTTCATCTTCTGGGGAAGACACTGGTCCTGTAAAGTAGAATATTATATACTTGCCTTACCCAGGATGGTACGCTGATGGTCATGATGTCATTATCCTTCCCTGGAGATTCCTGGGGAGTATTAAGTACCCTAAATATCTCAAGACATCACTTCAGTCCTATGCAGGAGCATCATTTTGCAAGATTTGAGCTGCTTTGTATTCCCAAGGATCTTACAGAGAGTAGCATGGCGTCATCCTCACATAGTTGCGGTGGGCAGAAGACAGGGGTAAGGGTAGTATATATTCTCACTCTTTTTCCTTACAGATATATTTTTGCAGTACTTTCTGCTACGATTAGTAATGTTCTGCTTACTTTCTTTATAAAGATAACTAAGTTGTTTTTGTTTTTTTTTATACAAATAATGTTTTATCAAAAATCTGTTTATGTTTTGAATAAAATGTACTTTTCTCAAAAACGTCTTCCAGGACAGCCTCTTGAGACATAGAGCTCCTCCCTCCAGGACAGGAAACATGTAAACACAGAACCTTAAAAGGTGGACCTCCAGGCTCCCCTCTTCAGTATTGTTGTTTTCCTCTGGAAGGATAGGTACACGTTTTTTAGGAACCTGTATAGGAGCCCTGGTGAATTCAGATAAAAGGGCATTATGGTTGAAAACCTGGACAGGGGACTCTGCATCCAAGTTACACCTTTGTACTTTACCCTTTTCAGGCGTTAACCTTTTCAGTCCAGGTCTCTAGGAGGCCTTGGCGCGTACAGCTGATAAAAAGAGGGCATTTCCAGAGAGTAAAAAGAGATCTTACTCCAGGAGGGTCTTTAGCCAGAAAACTCAGGGCCAGCAAAGTAAGCATGTTCAGCCCAAGAAACATTGGACAGGGCACAAGAACAAGGGTAAGGGGGGATCTTATTCAATCCTCCTCAGGGCCTCAAGTCTCAATGACTCGATCGCCCCAGTGGGAGGAAGACCTTTCTCTCTGTGGGCTTCAATCTCCTCAAACCCATACATTCTGGACTTGGTAGAAAAGGAGTATTATTATTATACAGTATTTATAAAGCACCAATAGTTCGCTCAGCGCTGTACATTACAAAGAGGGACAGAACATGTGACAGAACAATAACAATACAATGCAAAACATGAGGGGATCGAGGGCCCTGCTCTTTCGAGCTTACAATCTAGGAGGGAGGGGATGGTGGCACAGGAGGAGAAAACTGTGGGGAATGGAGTGGTAGGAAGGGTGGAGGAGGTCGGCAAGTTAGCAGGGGGTGGGGTAGGCTTCCCTGAAGAGGTGGGTTTTCAGGGTGCGCCTAAAGGAGAGGAGAGTAGGTGATAATCTGATGGGTTGGGGCAGGGAGTTCCAGAGGATGGGTGACACCCTGGAGAAGTCCTGTAGGCGGGCATGGGAGGAGGAGACCAGGGAACTAGAGAGAAGGAGGTCTTGTGAGGAGCGGAGTGTGCGTGCTGAGTGGTACTTATATATTAGGTCGGTGATGTAGTTCGGGGCAGTATGGTGGACGGCTTTGTACATCAGTGTTAGGAGTGTGAGTACAGGTTGGAGTTTGACTGCAGTCCCCCCGCCTGGTATCTGGTAACCAACCTTCCCAGGAATCAGGAGAAGGCACAGGCTCTATGTTGCGTGATTGCAGACCTGGTGGATAAACAGGTCCTTACCGGGTTCCCCGGAACGAGAAGGGGATGGGATTTTATTCTTTTCGTATTTTTATGTTTTCGTAGTCAAAAAGCCCTCAGGCAAGTTTAGCCTTATCTTAAACCTGTACCCTCTCAATCAGTCTTTAAGATACAAACATTTCAGGATGGAATCAATCTTCTCTGTAAAAAAACATTCTTTAGCCAGATTTTCATGGCTGCACTGGATCTGAGGGATGTGTATCTTCACATCCCCACACAGCAGACATGTCAGAAATACTTAAGGATTGGTACAGAGATCCATCACTGGCAGTGTCGAGCTCTACTTTTTTCATCTGGCATCAGCACCAAGAATTTTTACAAAAGTGCTTGTAGAGGCCTTGGCCCCCCTAAGAATGAGATCTATTACGATCATTCCCTATCTGGACGATCTCCTCTTTGTGGCCAGGTCTCCCAAATAGTTGACAGAGGATCTGCGGGTTGCCCAGGACTTCCTCAGAATCTGGGGTGGCTCATATACAGAGACAAGTCATGTTTAACTCCCTCCTAGAGAGTTACCTACCTGGGGTACGAGATTTTCTCAGTAGAAAGAAAGATCTTCCTTCCCCTGGAAACAATTCTCAGGATAGATCAGGTGCTGGCAGAGCTGCAGAACAATTTTGCCATTTCAATAAGGGATATCATGAGGGCAGTAGGTCTCATGATATCATGATTCCTGGCTGGTACCTGGGTAAGATTCCACCAGCACCCACTGCAGTCTTTCCTTCTGAGGGTTTCGGAACAGGTCTGCATTGGATCTTCCTGCCTGGCTCTCTACCAGGATCAAGAGATCCCTTTGGTGGTGGTGAATGCAGTACAATCTAGCCAGGGGTCTGGAATGGACCACACCATATTCGGTTATCTTCATGACCGATGCCAGCAGCTTTGGATGGGGAGCCCATCTAGGCAACAGAACGGCCCAGGGGTCGAGGTCCTCAAATCAGAGGGAGCTTCTAGCAGTCCAGTGAGCGCTGGATGCCTTTCAAGCAGATCTAATAGACCGTCACCTGTAGATCTGTTCAGACAATGTGGCATACATCAACAAACGGGGGTACAAGAAGCCCTCCTCTCCAAGCAATCGTGGATAGCATACTGTCTTGGGCCTAGCAAAGCTTGTGTTCGATATCTGCCATCCATCTGAAAGGAGCACAGAACTACCTAACGTACATCCTAATTTGGCATCCAGTCAAGCATGACGAATGGTCTCTCAACCAGGAAGTGTTTGCGACCATCACTATGAAATGGGGCATGCCAGAGGCGGATCTCGTTGCTTCCTAAAAAAATGGAAAAGTCAGCTGGTTGTTCTCCCTAAATACACGGGATTGGGCCTTGGGTGTAGATGCCCTCGAAAATTTGTGAAAATTCAATCTCTGTTATGCATTTCTTCCAGTGAAGCTGATCCCAGCAGTCCTGCAAAATGTTTTGTGGAAAAGACAAACCTCATTCTGGTTGTTTTGGCCGAAGAGACCATGGCTTTCACTGCTGCGGTGCCTTTCCTCTGTTTCCTCTTCCATAGAGGGAGGATCTGGTCTTTTAGAGTCCGGTACTGCACCCTCAGGTGAAGACTTTGAAGTTGGCAGCATGGCCAAAGTGAGGACTTTGGTGATCTGCCGCAAGCCAGTAACCAGAGCTTATATGAAGGTCTGGAAAAAGTTCAACTCCTGGCTGTCGGAGCCCTCTGGATATTCCGGCGGTCCAAGATTTCTTCCACGATGGGGCAGATCAGGGCCTTTCGATTAGTACTTTTAAGGTGCAGGCCTTGGCCCTTATTGTTTTCTTTCAGGTCACTCTCCAGCAGGATCTTTTTTTGTAGCTGAATTTTTCAGGGTCCTTTCCAAGTCCAAGCTGGCGGTGGTCAGGTCCTGTCCAATTTGGGATCTGTCTTTAGTCCTTAAAGTGCTACTAAACCCACACCAGTAAAATCAGCCTGTATATGCAGTAAAGCAAGCTTGTTATTCTCACTGTGGAACCTAAGGGGTTAATCCTCTGCATTGTGTAAAAAGGCTGTTTAGTCCTTTCTACTCTGCCCCTCCTCTTGTTGACATGACCACCTGATACTGATACAGACTGAACCCGTGGTCACATGCACACACGTCAGTTCTCGAGGATAGAAATGTTTGCAAAGAAACCCAGGATCCGTTTTGAAAAGTTTCCTTCTCCTTTTCATAGGTCCCAAGATATCATTTTGCTGACCTTCTGTTGTGCTCCCACAAGCGAGGAGAAAAGATTAAAATTGTTAGAAGGAGCTTTTTGGCCTCTTAGGTCTAGAGAATTCAGAAAATCAGATTCTGTTTTTGTTCTTTTAGTGGGAATGTGGAAGGGTTTTAGTGCTTCCATATCCACCATAGCTAGTTGGATTAAGATGGCTATCGCAGAATCGTACAATTTATTAGAGATTCCGCCCCTGTTTGTTAATGGACACTCAGCCAGATCCTTGTCAGCAACCTGGGCAGAGAGAGCTGGTGTCTCACCAGAATAGATTTGTAAGGCATCCACCTAGTCCAGCTTTTCTACCTTCATGAAGCATTATCGTCTGGATCTGCGTTCTAGTGAGAATCAGGCATTTTGGGCAAAGTCCTCCAGTCAGTAGCCTCGCCCTAGTGGGTAAGTTCTTGAATATCGTCTCAAGGGGCTGTCCTGGAGGATGTTTTTGAGAAGAGTTAGACTTACCGGTAACTCTATAAATCTTCCAGGACAGGTAGGATTTCCCACCCTAAGATTGTACAGTAATGTATGTTTATGCATAAATGGTTATGTCTTTTAGTGTCTTCCTGCGGTTCTTGGGAAAACTGAAGAGGGAGGCCTGGAGGTCCACCTTTTTAAGGTTCTGGACTTGTGTGTTTCCTGTCCCGGAGGGAGGAGCTCTCAAGGGGCTGTCCTGGAAGACTTATAGAAAATGAGTTACCAGTAAGTCTAACTCTGTTTTTTTTTTTATTATATAAGGAAGTAAAATCTAGAGATTCATGTCTGTAACAACTGTTCATTTTGATATTTTCTGTAAGATGTCTTTATTAATGTGTTTTTGTTTTGTTTTTTTTAACTGGGGCCAAAAGACAAATAATCATGTCCTCTATTATTATTATTATTATTATTTTTATTATGATTTATTTGTTATAATTACTGTACTTGTTTTTTTTTTTTCCTAATTATTATTGTTATCTCTCTCTGAGAACATTTAGAAGCTGAGTAAATAAGAATGGCATTGGGATTCTATAAAGCTGTGCAATCAAGGACAGGTGGATTTAAGGTAGATCTCAAACATGTTCACTGGATATAGTGCTGCTAGCAGAGCATATTGATCATGTAGTCACATCTTCTTGCTTGATTCCCCCACCCCCCCCCCCCCCTTTTTTTTTTTTTTTTCCTGTTTTTGATAGCTTACCTTGAGCAAAGCTTTCACTATTCATGTTTTTAGTGAGAGTTCTATAGAATAAAAAGGCACTTGTACATGTTATGTGTAAAAGTTTTCATAGTCTTTTGTTTTGCTTTTAGAGGGGGCTGGTCACATTAAATTTTCTTCCTTAACATGGCAACTTTTTGTAATTTTGGAAAATCAAGCAGGTCTTCTGTATGACTATGCTTTTTGAGTGCAGTAAATCTTTATTGGGGAGCTAGCCTGCTAAAATAGCTACTGTTAATTCCAGCTTCTCTGCCTGTACTGTAATCACACTGGAATCAGTATTGTCAAGTTGCAATATGACTTTCAGAGGAATTTGAAGTTTTATTTATCTTTTTTATTTAGCAGCTAGGGCATGAGTGAAGCAGATTAATGTAGAGTGTCTGAGTCTATTGGGGCTGCAGACATCACATCCAAGATGGCCAAATCCAGCAGCCATCTCAGACTTTTTTTATTTAGAGGTAAACAGGTATAAAATATGTTAAAGAACAGGTTCACCTTTTCAACATGTTCCATGTTACACCCATATTTAGGGTGTAGCATGTTCAAGCAGAACACCCCAAACCCCCCCCTCCCCGCGCAGCTGCAGTCACATTTGAAATCAATGTGGCTTGGTAGGGCTCTGCAGTTGCATCATTCATTCACAAAGATCTGTGAATGAATAAACGAACAGTCTCATCTACCACTGCAGCAGATGGACTTGGACTTGTAGTTTCAATCAACTGCAAGCTTGCTAACTAGCACACTGGTAGTCATTTTAATATTCTGACAGCTCTGAAACTGATAGCCCTAACAGAGGTGCCTGACATTGCACCACGATCTACTGAACACAGGTGCAATACTCTGTAGGCTCCAGTGAAAAGACCTAATAAATGCACAAGGTGAACTTATCCTTTTAAATACACATATAACCTTGTAGGAATATTGTTCAAATAAATGGCCTGATGACAGGGTCTCTTCAAGATTAATTTGTTATGAAGTAAAATGCCATTGTAAGAAGTCTGTGATGGAAGGTAGCATTATCTGACTTCTGGCCTGCATACCAGTTCTGGTTCAGTCATATAAATTTCTTGGAAGATGAATAGTTTGTGTCACTGTCCCGAATTAGTATGTGACTCGAGTCCAGAAAATTGCAGCCTCCTACAGAGTATTCTTACATGGCATTTTTTTTTTCTTTTTGATTGCTACCCTTTTAATGAATAATGCTTATTATTGCTGATATGTTTTGTATGCAGCTTTTAACAGATCACCCTGCCCTGTCACTGGTATGGCCAAGTTCAATCCGCCATAAATTCACAAGATCTCGTCTTCCTGAAGAGGTGAGAGTTTACTGTTCTCTTCTGAAGTCATATGTTTGCATGTACCTTCCGTACAAACAGGTAAACATTATAGCAGTGGTCAACGGTATTAAAGTGGTTGTAAACCCTTACATAAACCCAGTGAATTGACTGGCCTCAGGTGATACACAGAGATGAAACCTCAGAAATTGTACCTGTCTATCCCCTATATCCATTTAAAGTGCAAAATTTACATAGGACCTCTGAGCTCTGAAAAGCAGGGGGCAGGGAGCTGAAGTTGCATCAGTGAGGAGAACTCTAAGATTGGAGGTAAGGGACACACACCCCCTTCACACAAGACACAGGAACAGTGTTGAGGCTGTCAATCACAGGTTGTGTCCTCCCCTGTCACCATTTTTCTCTTGGAGTCAGGAAAACTTGTCAGAAGTGACCCATACAGATAGCAGAGGTACGAGGCAGCAGACAGAAATGACACTTGGTGCTATGGATTTAGACAAGCTCACACTATAGAGTGATATGCTTTGTTTATTTTTCATTTCAGGGGTTTACAACCACTTTACAGTAATACCTTGGTTTATGAATTTAATTTGTTCTGCAGGACTTTTCGTATAGCGAAAAATTCGTAAATCGAAATGCTGTGTCCCATATGAATGCATTGAAAACCAAGTAATCTGTTCCGGAGGTCAGCAAAAAGTAAACGCTACAAAAATACTGCATAAGTTATTTTATCAAGTCATGCGGTATTTTAGTTATAACAACCATGTGTTAATGTTTCAGCTGTCAGCGGGGTCGGTGGCAGACATCGTGATTGACGTTGGATCTACTGCGGGGGACATTCTTTTAGTTTTTTTCTTTTAAAGGACTTGTCAAAGACCATGTCTTGTCTGGGTTTTTTTTTTTTTTTTTCCACACTACACTTTTTGTTTATTGTGAATGTGTAAGGGTACCGTGTACCCCATACTCATTCACATGGGGAGGCTGGGGATCTGAGGGCCCCCTTGTTAAAGGGGGCTTCCAGATTCCGATAGGCACCCTGCCCGCAGACCCCCCACAACCATCGGCCAGGGTTGTGGGGAAGAGGCCCTTGTCCCCATCAACATGGGGACAAGGTGCTTTGGGGGGGGGGGATGATGTGACCTGGCATGGTCCAGGAGGGGGGGGGGCACTCGTCCCTCCCTTTCCTGACCTGCCAAGCTGCATGCTCAGATAAGGGTCTGTTATGAATTTGGGGAGGGACTCCCACGCGGCCTTTTTTTAATTTTAGCGTGGGAGTTTTCCTCAAAATCCATACCAGACCCGAAGGGCTTGGTATGGATGGGAGGGGGGACCCCAGGCCTTTTTTTTTTTTTTTTTTTTTTTTTTTTTTTTTTTTTTTCACCATTAATCAAATTCAGCTGTCAATTTTCCCCCCAGCTAAAAGAGAGAGTTTTCTTTTTAGTTTATTTCCCATAGTTAAAAGAAACATAGTTTCCGTTAACTCAGGGGAATGTGACAGTCCTGTGAGCTATAGTAAAGAAAGAAAAAAAAAAAAAGACGGCAATTGCATTTAAAAATCGGCACCGACATACATTTCGTATTGCAAAAAAAATTTTGTAAACCGAGGTATTACTGTACGTGTTTTCAGATTGGGATAGTGTTTCCTGTCAATACAGTAATGTTTGAAGGGGTAATGTACAAAGGGTCAGTGGGCAGTAGCATAAGTAATCAAGCACAGTTGTGTCAAAATTTGAGATTTGTAAATTTACAAGTCTTTCCTATTTCTCAAAAGCCCATAATCATAATGGATGTATCTTGCAGTGGCTGACTGTATATCTAACAACATTGTTATGTGTAGGATTTGTCCTCTAGAACAAATATAGATCTCAAGTACAGCTACTGAACATACCTTTTTTGATATTAGTTGTAGTGTCTGAGGTGCATTCAACTCTCAGAGAAATACAGTTAGTATGAAGTCATTAAAGGGTTGGCTATTTTAAAGGGTTGTGGTTGTTAAGACAAGTACCAATCGACCATCAGAAGATCTCTTTTCACCTATTTTCATGTTTCATTGCATGCTGACTTCTTGTACTGGCATACATTCTCACTTTCCATCTCAACCCTACTTATGGTTTTAGAAGTTTCTTGAAATTAATTTGCTTCTCAGAAAACAAATATGAGCCGTAATCTTAGGTCTTTATGCACCCCAACTTCTCCAGATATGTGTGGTTGACCTATCTGACAGATTTTCCTGATTGATTGCTCTTGTGTTCCCTCCAAGACAAGCCCACTCCATAACAGTTTTGCAGTGTCCTCCCTCCTCCATAAACATGCTTATTTGACTGATCCAAACATGTATGTTTATGAGAGATCTTTTTGGTGGACAGATGGCACCTACATTCTGGGCCACAAGTGCTGTTTTAGCCACAGAGGTACTGTATATACCTTCATCTGACGTGGGACCCAAGGTGGAGTGGCTTTATTATCTACTAAGTTAACAATTTTTAACAACTTTTCCATATACCTAGAAACATCAGCTTTTGTGTACATACTGAAGAGGTTGTCAGTTTTTTGTTTCAGAAAGTGAAAGCAAATGTTTTAAATCTATATTGATAAATGACTCTTGTGTCATTGGGAGTATGAAACAAGAATGCAAAAAGGAGTTTATTGGTTGGCAAAAAAGAAGGCACACTTAGTAATCCTATATAAAGATAAGGCGATTGAACTATTGTTTTTGGTCATGCAATTGTAATATTAGCTTTACCTCATTGATGAGATGCATATGAGCCTACAGTGGTGGCCAACCCAATTGTATGGAGGTTGTCCATTGGAGTGCTGCAGAATAGCAGACTTATTTCACAATGTTAAATGGGAGTCTGTAATGACTGTTGTATCTCACAGCTGATGCCCCTGTTAACAAGAAAAAAATACAGAATTTGTAAAAACCTGGCTACACAAACCTTATATCTGCCTAACTGTCAAACACGTGGGCAAACGCTATATTCCTTATATGAAAAAAGGAAATCTTTTTGTAGGGCTACTACAGATCCTGACTTTTGGCAACATATAAGAATGAAAGTGTCAAAAAGAGGATGCATCTCTTAGAAATGTTCTTTATTATATATGGCACATACCAAAACTTTAAAATCACACCTAAGTAGAATTCCAGGCTTTTACTAACTATGTTTAAAATAAAACGCTCCCTCCCCTCCTAACACCTATACTAACTACCCTAAGCAAGAAAGATCTGTAAAGCTATCCATTGTCAGACCACTCCAGTCCAGTCACGTGATTGGTGTCTGACAGCTGCCTCTGCATATTAGAGAAGGAAGCACTGACAACGGATTGGCGCATAGTAAACCTATGGGTGACATCTCTGCTCGGGCATTTCCAGCTGTTTATTGCTTTTTCCTCTCCCTTGTACCATTTTTATTAAGATGTTAGAGTTCCACTTTAAACCTGGCTGTAATACAATATATAGCTTACTTTTTTTTACTAGTCTCTTGATAAATACACTATATTGCCAAAAGTATTTGGACACCCCTCCAAATCATTGGATTCAGGTGTTCCAATCACCTCCATGGCCACAGGTGTATAAAAACAAGCACATAGGCATGTATGATGTAGACTGCTTCTACAAACATTTTGTGAAAGAATGGGTCTCTTTCAGGAGCTCAGTGTATTCAAGCGTGGTACCATGATAGGTTGCCACCTGTACAACAAGTCCATCCAGGAAATTTCCTTGCTACTAAATATTCCACGGTCAACTGTTAGTGGTATTATAACAAAGTGGAAGCAACTGGGAACAACAGCAACTCAGCCACAAAGTGGTAGGCTACATAAAATGAAAGAGCGGGGTCATGCATGCTGAAGCGCACGGTGCGCAGAAGTCACCAACTGTCTTCAGAGTCAATAGCTAAAGACCTCCAAACTTCATGTGGCCTTCAGATTAGCAAAACAGTGCTCAGAGAACTTCATGGAATGGGTTTCGATGGCTGAGCAGCTGAATTTAAGCCTTACATCACCAAGTGCGATACAAAGCATTGGATGCAGTGATGTGAAGCATGCCACCACTGGACTCCAGAGCAGTGGAGACGTGTTCTCTGTCTGATAATTGGATGGATGTGTCTGGGCTTGGTGGTTGACAGGAGAACGGCACTTGCCTGACTGCATTGTGTAAAGTTTGATGGAGGGGGGGATTATGGTGTGAGGTTGCTTTTTCAGGAGTTGGGCTTGGCCCCTTAGTTCCAGTGAAGGGAACACTTAAGGCATCAGCATACCAAGACATTTTGTACAATTTCATGCTCCCAACTTTGTGGGAACAGTTTGGGGATGGCCTTTTCCTGTTCTAACATGATTGTGCACAAAGCAAGGTCTATAAAGACATGGATGAGCGAGTTTGGGGTGGAAGAACGTGATTGAGTCCTGACTTCAACCCGATAGAACCTTTGAGATGAATTAGAGTAGAAACTGCGAGCCAGGCCTTCTTGTCCGACACCAGTGCCTGACCTCACAAATGTGCTTCTGGAAGAATGGTCAAACATTCCCATAGACACACTCCTAAATCTTGTGGACAGGCTTCTCAGAAGAGTTGAAGCTGTTATAGCTGCAAAGGGTGGGCCAACTCAATATTGAACCCTACAGACTAAGACTGGGATGCAATTAAAGTTAATGTGCATGTAAAGACAGGCAACCCAATACTTTTGGAAATATAGTGTATATTGATCTACCAGTTTCTAACCTGTAAAATAAGGATTTCCTCTACACATCTGCCCTGGTAGATGTGCAGATATTTCCCCATAGTCCCTGAAAGTTCCGGGAAGCCATTTGATGATTTAACCTTTTCTATATCTCAAAAAAGTTAATAAAATTTAATTGTTTGAAATTTTAAAGAAGAAATCCGGGAAAAGTCACCCATTAGTGTACACAAAACACTAAACATTTGTGAAATTCCTTACTATTGAAAAGAAAAGTCTAATTGAATTTTCAGGAAGGCTTCATTGTAATTCAAAAGATAACAGCATCTACTCTGCCAAGGAGGAAACTACAGTTCCCATCACCAGAAAATTGCAGTGACTGTGGGTGGGTGCACTAGGCCTGTACATGTTGAATGTATACTCGCCCACTTGAACATAAAACACGTCCCCTCATCCAGCCACACTACTCAGCATTACACAGTAGGACAGTTGGATGACAATCTTATAACCATGCATGTGCAAAATGTTTAGCTCATTCTATGTAGTCTTTCATTAAATATTTAATTATCCCTCCTCTAGGTTCTCTGTTGCTAGGTGTGGCTGCTGTTGTCACATGCGATCTCTCCACCTCCAGCCGATAAACTAATTGATCAGAGGCTGTAGCCATGCTACAGGAGATGACTCCTGTAGCATGGCAGTGTGGTCAAAAGGCACAGGAAGTGAGGGGAAGTCTCCCAGTGCTGGCACAGGAAGTGAGGGGAAGTCTCCCTCCAGTGGGTTTACAAAAACAGGCTATCTCCCTCCAGTGGGGTTACAGAAACAGGAAGTCTCCCTCCAGTGGGGTTACAGAAACAGGAAGTCTCCCTCCAGTGGGGTCACTAAAGACTGTTCTAGGCAGCAGCAGTTGTGGTAACTAAACCTTGTTTAGCATGGATTGGCATGTATGGTGGCACAGTATAAATTGTCAGGGTCAGCTTGATTTTGTAGATCTACAGTAACTGGAGAGGTAGCTGTGGTACGGTATATCACTTATAAATTTTATTAACATTTTATTCCAGAGGAAAATGTCAGTGCTAAGAATGTCCTACTTACACTGGTCAGTGTGAAGAATGTCCCTGTTCCATCATCACTGCACCCTCCCTGCACACATGTTCCACTACCACTGTACAGCTGTTTTGCTACCACTACACTATCGGCCACCACTGTACCCCCCCTCTGCACACATGTCCCAATGCTGTACCCCCTCTGCACACATTTCATCGCCTTATTGCAGTGGGTGCTTTTAGTAGTGCAATGTAAAGGTGTCTGGCAACTGAAGGGTTAACTGTTATCCACGGCTCAGCTCCCTCTCCGATCAGCTATGGGGCTAAGGGTGTGTAGCAGCTCAGCTCCCTCCCCATTCTCCCCTACAGCTGTTACTATTGGATGAGAAGAAGGGCACACTGCCTCTGTCGGCAGTTCAGATTGGGAGTTTGACTGGTCCGCCCACTACAGCTAGCAGGAATTGCATCACTGCTCTCTAACATGAGAACTACAGGAGGGATGTGCCAAGCCCAGTGGCTGGGGGATTGCAAAGCATAGCAGCCACTGGTCTTGCAAACGGGAAGACACAGGGGATTAACCCCATGATTTAAAAAATGCACATGCTGTCAGAAACAACAGAGTCAGCCAGATAACAGACTACAAATTCTAGGAAGGTAGGAAAGCAGCAATAAAACTATCTACATTTTTGCACGAAGTTCTGCTTTAACCTTTTATTAGCTTTATATTATTTGAATTTGCTTTTATAATTTTTAATATGAATTTTATTGTGATCCTGTTTCATGTTGTATGTATGTTTTTCTTTTTGTTATGCGCTTTAGACTTTTCAGCCAAAGCCAGAAGACCATGAAAAATATGGAGGAGATGCTGAACAACCACACAAGTTACATGTTATCACTAGAATACGATCAGTTGTTGGTAGGCCATATTGGGAAAAGGATATAGTAAGGAAACTTGGACTTCAAAAGGTAGTGTACTTATTTTCATAGTTGTGCAACAGGATATACAGTTAGGTCCATATATATTTGGACACTGACACAATTTTAGTTTTTTATCAGATATTTACAGCAATAGATTCCAAATGCTAATACCACACTTAGAATCACCTCCAGACCTTTTACTTGCTTAAATGATAAAGAAATAACAAAGGAGTAGCCCACAGCTGGCCATGAAACAGCTTTTAATTCAATTGTCCAATTACTTTTGGTCCCCTGGAAAAAAAAAAAGGGGGGGGGGGGTGCTAATCTTAAGAGCTGTAGTTCCTAAACCCTTCCTCCAATTTGGATGCACATACCCTCAAATTAAACCTGAGAGTGTGCACTTTCAGCCCATATCCATTATATAACTATAGCTTGAAGACGTTTTTGGTAAATACCCAAAAAAAAAAACAATTGTGCCTGTGTCAAAATATATATAGATGTATGAAATCTGCATTGTTTTTATATTATAAACCAATATAATGTGCATTGCTTTTAACAACTAGATTTTTTTTTTTTTTTTTTTTTTTTTCAGGCTCAAAATCCAGTAATACATAAGAACATCCCAGCAGTCAACGAATATCTTAAAATTATCAAGCACTTGATTAGGTATATTTTATGTCTTTCTTAGATCTTTGCAAGTAAACCTAAAATACTGGACACCAAGATAGATGTTTTGTTTATATCGTGTGTGTGCCTCTCCTAGACTTCAAAAACAGTTTTCTGGGTGTCTTTCATATTCAAAATTAGCCCCAATAAGTATGAGCAATAACTTCATGTCTTGGTTGTGTTGGATACATTGTTCACTATTTTTGTTTTGACACTGTCCATTCACAGTTTTGTAAATTTTTAGTCTAGAAAAAGTCACATGTCCTTTTTTAGCATTCAACAAGAAGACCAAAATAAATACATTAAAAGAGAAGATTGTTTTGTTTTTTTTAATTAAATTATACTAACCCAGGTGGATGCAGCATTGGGTCGATGCTGCATTTCTCTCCTCGGGGTGAGAACTGAGCGATCAAGCACCAACCATTGCACATTTCTCCCTGCTGCTCTGAGCAGAGAGCCGTGACTGTCACCGCCATCCCATCTGCTCTGCCAATCCCCCCCCCCCCCCCCCCCAGTTAGCGCTGGCCTGTGGAGGAGGTGGGAGCGGCTGGCTTAGGGGCTCCCAACAGATCACTGAGAGGCTGAACTAGGTGCCAGTGTAGGCTCCTTGGTGGTTTTTGCCCATATGGTAGCGATCTTTCCCCAGCCTGGACTGTCTGAGTGACATCAGCCAACAGCAGACTTTAGCCCAATGTTAGCTGAAAATAGATCACAGGAGTGCCTTCGTTCTCCACAGGAGACATACAACCAAACGAGCTTTGGCTGTGTGTATTCTTTTAAAAACCTTGCATTTGCATCCTCAGATCCCTCATACCTCAGTTGATACATAGGAATGCAAAAACCATTTAAAAAGCACAAACTGGAAAAAAATAATGCCTTGAGCTAGGATGCTCTTGGATTTCATTAGTCCCACTCAACCTAAATTGTATATGAACATATACTGGAGATGCGTGATACACTCCTCTTCTGTGTTTGTTTACATTCTGGTAGAAGTCTGAGGTTTTATTTCCCGGCATCTCCCTTCATCTCTGGCATTGGAACAGAGTCCCATAGAAGTCTCTGGGGCTGTAAGCTGCAGGTGCAGCTGGAGAAAGTTGGTATGGGATGTAATCAATCATTTAAAGTATTTTACAGTATATTTGCCAATTGACAAGATGAAATTATATATGGTATTTTAATTTTTACTAATAAACCTAGTAAATGCATAAATATAATCAAAACATTTTTTACATTTTACAAGTGATCTTGTGTACTTGTGTATGGTAAACTATCCTGAATATACTAGATGCTCAGATATCACGCTGCTCCAATAGCTTCAATGCAATCATCATTATCTGCAATTCATCCTTTAATATCACTCCACAATGCCCCAACAAAAAAAACAAGGCCTTGTACAAATTGAATGTGGTGGCTCAAGATTGTCTATAAGGGCACAGGTAATACAAGTAAGCTGGAACTAGTATGTGGCCTGGATTTTGAGGCATCTGCTGCAGGCTATTTACACACACAAATGATATGTTTGTCTATGAACGAAATCTGTAGTGAAAGGATCAAGAATACTGTCTTTACTTATGTCACTTTTTGAAAATGCTAGTTACTTTGATGCCATGTTGATTCATTGGCCTTTCTACTTGCTGAATTACTGACCTTGGGACCATTTGGAGTCCTTTAAGAATATTCATTGATATGTTTTCTTTTCTTGTACCCCAGAGTTAAGCCTTTGAAACTGCCCTATGGCCTTCCAACAGAAGAGGAAATGTCTAGCGCTTACTTGAACAGTAAGGACGAGCTGGTGTTTTGTAAAAAGCTGCAGCCATTGGAAACCAAATCTGTGGAATCATAGTGCCTGTTTTTTCTGTGTAATTTGTTAAATAAAACTTTGGAATTTTGTGCTCTTATAATTTACATATTTACAGCTGCATTTTGTATGATGCATATTTTGTAATGGAAGTGTTCACAAAATGTTTACCTGCTTCTGTCTCTTGAAGGTGTGTCTGAGTATTGAATTTACCATGGGAATTATATTACTATAAAGCCCCTTACTTGATGAAGAAGCTGCAGCACTTGGCAACCTATTGACACAGCGAGCGGCAGCCTGGGAGCCCCTGATTTCACCTGCTGCAACTAGAGGAGGAGGAGGAGAGCACACCAGGCATAGTGTATTGCGGTGTTCACTGCATTGCAGTGTCAAGTGTGTTACAGTGCATTGCGGTGTCCAGTGCACTACAGAGTACAGTGCATTGTGGTGTCCAGTGCGTTAGAGTACAGTGTCCAATGCATTACAGTGTACAGTGCATGGCAGTGCCAAGTGCGTTACAGAGTATAGTGCATTGCGGTGTCCAATGTGTTACAGAGTACAATGCATTGCAGTGTCCAATGCGTTAGTGTACAGTGCATCTCAGTGCATCACAGAGTACAGTGCATTGTAGTGTCGAGTGCGTTACAGCGTATTTTGTTTTCTGCACTACAAATAAGATATGTACGGTGTGCATAGGAATTTGTTCATATTTTTTTTTCAAACTATAGTTCAGCCACCCAACAGTGTGAAGGTCTGTGAACTGGCCCCTTGTTTCAAAAGTTTGAGGACCCCTGGTTTAGACCTTCAGATGATATATTATTATTTTTTTATTTTTTTTTTTTGCATGCAAGTAGTTAAAGTACCTGCATTTGACTTGATATTAGCCTCTTTAACCACTTCCAGTCTCGACACTTTTACCCCCTTCCTGCGCAGGCCAATTTTCAGCTTTTAGCGCTATCATGCTTTGAATGACAATTGTGCGGTCATGCAACACTGTACCCATATGAATTTTTTAGCATTTTTTTGAGACAGATAAAGCTTTATTTTGGTTGTATGTATTACCCACTGGGATTTTTATTTTTTTGCTATATAAATGAAAAAGTCCAAACATTTTGAAAAAAGTGTTTTTCTTATAAAATTGTGCAAAGAATAGTTCATAATAAATCTTGGCCAAAATTTATTCAGTTCTCTTTTTATTAAAAAAAACTAAAAAAATAACCCAAATTAGTTTATAATCAAAAATTATAATTTTTTTTTAACTTTTTTCTACATACTGTCACCCTAGCAGTACTGTGTCACTATACTACTTGTGGGGGGTGATGAAGATTTTTTTTTTTTTTTTTTTTTTTTTTACACAGATTTCTTTTTACATCCTATATGGGTATAAAAGCAATAATTTCTCCTTCTTTCTGGCTGCATTCTTGCAGCCATTGAGAACTACTGTGTGAGCTGTGATTGGTCACAGTTTGTCACATGGTACAAGGCTGTTGTGAATAGCCTTGTACCATGTGACCTCTGATCATTTACAGATTTCACACGTAGTAAGCAATGATGTCAGAAGTGACATCTTGCTTACTACTCTGCATGTGATCACTGATTGGCCAATCAGTGATCACATGATCGGGACCGTGCAAAGAGGTCCCGTACGACGCTCGGTGTTCCACTCTGTCCGGAGGACACAGCGGGCACTGGATCGCGGTGCCTCGTGCTCTCAGTCCATAATGGCGGGTGCCGTTTATGAACGGCAACCCGCCCCTGAAGTGCCACCATCCTGCCGTTTATATACAGAGGCTGGACGGCAAGTGGTTAATCCTCCATACAGTAAAACTTGGTACTAGATAGATGTGATGAAAAATGCATGCTCTTGACAGGTGCAGACCAAATTGATGAGCTTCTTGGCCTACTGCTGCTCCTTCCACAGGCTGGGGGTAAGGAGGTGACCCAGCTGTACTGCTTAATTGAGCAAAGTCAGGTTCCCAATCTGCCTGTGCTGTGTGGTCAGGCTTTTTTAAATGTCAGAATTTGATGGGCAGAAGTACAGTTTATTTGACTGGTAAAAACAAATTCCATATACTGTTTGTGGTTTCAGCTGTGTATTTACCTGGGTGCCTGGAGTTCAGCTTTAAACTTCTAGTAAGCTTTTCATAATTGTATAAACCAAATTAGGTTTTTGTCTTGCTATAAAAACCTTTTTAAGAGACACAGGATGTTGTATGCAGGTACATTGGGGTATTCTAGTGCCTTCAGGAGGTTGGATGCTGGCAATCAGTACTGCAAGAACAGCCCAGTGTAACCCCTTCCACCTCCAGTCTTCCTCCTGTTTTTGTAGCACACAGTAGTAGGACATAAGAACAGAGGAGAGGGCCTGGCTCTCTTGATGTACTCCAAGAACAGCAAGGGCAACCTGGCAAGGAGACAGACTGTTGAAAGGGAGCTGCAGCACTGACAGATGCACTAGAACAGCATGTGTGGTACTTTTTTTTTTTTTTTTTGAGGGAACACAGAAAGATACCCTTGTAATAGTGGATTGCAAGCTGGCTTGGACCACGGCACTTGTGATTATAATGTCTTAGAAAACATGGCCGTGCACTGGGGAAATTGTGGTGTACTACCAAATCTCTGCAAGCCTTCACCCTATATAAATCTGCTCTCCTAAAATACAATTCCTCTCTCCATGTTGATAAACAAGCCTACTTCATCACTTTCATTATTACTCTGTCATCCAGTCTTCATTGGCTCTTCTCTACCTTTAACTCTCTACTTTGTCCACCACCATCCCCACACAGTAACTCCCCCTCCGCACCGGAGATTGCCAGTCACTTCAAAAACAAGATTGATGCAATTCCTGGGGACATCTCCACTGCACAGATATCTATCCTACTTCACATACCTTGTCCAAAATCACATTTAATATTTTCCTCTTTTGACCTCGTTCCTACAGAAGAGATCCCCAAACTTTTCTCACAAGCCCGCCTTACCACCTGTACACTAGACCATGTTCCCCCGCAAGAAATACAGTCAGCCTCTTGCTCTATTTTATGCTCCCTCACTCACTTTCTCAATTTCTCCCTCTCTACTGCTACCTTCCACTCCTCTTTAAAGGATGCACTGAACATCCTCATACTGAAAAAGCCCTCACTGGACCCCACTAAACTGAACAACTTAAGATCCATCTTCTTGCTTCCATTTACATAGAAACTTTTAGAAAGCCTAGCCTACACATCTGAACTCCTACTTCACTGACAACAACCTCACTAACAACAACCTTGCTGACCCCTTACAGTCTGGCTTTTGCTTGCAACACTCCACAGAAGCTGTCCTACTAAAACTCACTATTTACTAACTGCTAAAACCAATGGCTACTGCTACATACTCGTACTACTAGACCTTTCGGCTGCCATGTATACTGCTGACCACCTGCTTCTCAAAAAATTCCACTCCGTTGTCCTCCAAGACTGCTGATTCCTGGTTTGCCCCCTGCCTATTACAGTATTCCTTCAGTGTTGCTGACAAATCTGTCTCTTTCTCTCCACTCCCTCTTTCTGTTGGGGTCCCCAAGGGTCTGTCCGTGGACCTCTTCTCTGCTCCACGTACACCTCCTCTCTTGTACAAAGCTTTTTCCCCTTAAGTAAATGGGACTTTTAGGCCAACTAAACGGATAAGTTACATAGTTAGTCTGGCTGAAAAAAAGACAAAAGTCTATCCAGTTCAACAATTAAAAAAAAAGTTAAAATCCTATACCCATAGTTCATCCAGAGGAAGGCAAAAAAACCCCAGCAAAGCATGATCCAATTTGCTCCTGCAGGGAAAAAAATTCTTCCTGATCCCCTGAGAGGCAATCGGATATTCCCTGGATCAACTTTACCTATAAATGTTAGTATCCAGTTATATTCTGTGTATCTAAGAAACAATCCAGGCCTTTTTTAATGCAATCCACTGAGCTTGCCAGAACCAACTCTTGAGGGACTCTATTCCACATTTTCACAGCTCTCACTGTGAAGAAACCTTTCCATGTTTGGAGATTACATTTCTTTTCCTCCAGATGTAAAGAGTGCCCCTCGTCCTCTGTGATGACCTCGGTGAATAGCTCTACACCGAGTTCACTATATGAACCACTGATGTATTTATACATGTTGATCGTATCCCCCCTTAATCTCCTCTTCTCAAGAGAGAATAAATTCAGTTCCTCTAATCAGAACATCTTAATTCTTTCATCAGGGGAAACTGAAGAGGAAGCATGGCTGAATAGAACTTCTTTAAATATAATATAGAGCAGTAAGTGTCTGCACATATATAATTACAAAATTATATTGTTCTACATTAGATAGATTACATAATATCCATTCAGAATAATGATCTTTGCAACCACCAAGGAGTTGAAAACTTCCTTAACCTCCCTGGCGGTATGATTATTTCAGATTTTTGGTGCTGAAAGCGGTACCATTTTTTTGCATGGAAATATGTATTTTTTTTATTGTAGGCTGTAATTTTTAGGAAAAACTCACTGAAATCTGTCCGAACAAGAGTCTAGTAAACATCCCGGGTATGATAAAATTTGAAACACAAAATCATAAATTATAATTTAATAAATAATCATAAAAATAATATAAAAATAATAAAAAATTTAATTCAATAATATAATCAAACCAAAAACACTGAAATGTGAAATAGAGCGCCAAGTTCGCACATTGCTGAGCTCAGTCGCAAAATCGTTTTCAGTTTCTGATGACGAATTTCCCCCACGAATCATTATCACTCAATTCTGCAAGTGGTTCTGATTTACTATCGCTGTTCTCTAGCTGATCTAAACCGCTTTTGACCTAAAGGGACACTTTTTGGACGCCATGGACATTTCTCAGTTTCCAAGCAGAAAGAACAGACAAAATGCAGGCAGGGCGCATGACAAAGCACTAGGGACAATATGTATGTGAAATAGGTTGAAACAGCAATGTTTTACTGTGTAAAATGTAAAAAAAAAAAAAATGACATTTTTTAAAATTTTTAAATTTCCCGCCGCCAGCGGCGGCGGCGCCCGTACGTCCCGA